GCAAAGGCAAATCTGGGCTGTACACTGCAGTGTGTCATAAGCTTGTAGGAAAGTCACAAGATGGTGGCAGAAGTTTTGCGATCACAGGCCACCACATCACTACCCCTTCGTGTGGGTAACTGGGGACCTAGTTAAGGACCAAACCCTATTTGTGCAATAAAAGCTGGCAAAGCCAATTAGTGGGGATGCATTTATTTCAGTACTAAAGTGTTCTAGCCTCAGTGTAGTTTTTACTATACATTGGCTATTTATCAAGCTGTAATTTATTTATCTCTAATGCAAATGCAGCAGTTGGCATGGTATTGGGCTCGATGATCTTCGGTGGGTCCCTTCCAACTCAAAATATTCTATGATTCTATGATTAGCAGAATAGAGTCATATACTGATACTGTTTATTCCTCTTTCTATAGAAGAACCACCTGTAATGCTGTGAGCATCTTTGTCACAGCATAGCTCTGTTGATACTAGACATATTAGATGAAAACATAACCTTAATGAAGTAAATATTCCTGTATAAAATGTTTGTGTAGACTACGCTTGGAAAAGCCTTGGGAAACATCCAAACAAAAGCTTCTTCATTTTGAGGTAAGGACAACAGCCTATACATCCCACTGCTATAGTGAGAAGCAAGAAAGCAAGCAGTTACAGCACACAGGCCACTCACCAGTTCCTCTTCCTAGCCGTAACTACTTCCTTTCCGTCACTTACAGTTCTCATATCACTTTACTCATTCTGAGCACCCAAAGCACAGTCTGACATCTGGCTGCACATTTGTGACATCAGCATACACATCCTCTTTTCATTTCCCTAATTTCTGTATTAAAATTTAATATAAAATTCTGACAAGTAAATCCACAGACCACCTGCTTTCCATTTTTTCTGAACAGTTCAAAGAAAGCAAGCGTGCCTCACAGTCAGCACCTCCATGTTGGCAGAGTGCCTTGCTGCTGTATACCAGCAGAGAATCACAAAACATCCTACAATTGTGATGTTTGGAAACCATCTCAAGCACACGGCAATCATCAGACCACGTTATGAGATCACCAGTCAACGGGATCTGAACTCTAGACTGATGCTGCTTACTCAGTAGGGGGCACAGATGCATGGGTTCTGGTCAGGAGGGGATTAAAGGAACTGAGGTTTAGAAGGGGGAACTCATGATTGGCATGTAGAAAAACCGAGTGACTCATATGCTAAATCTTGTGCTTTTCACAGTGTAAACCACTGGATTGTGCAGGCTAGAAAGCCTGGGTCAAGGTTAACAGTAATTTGTGAATGATTGTCGTCTTTCATTCACACGGGTATGAGTAATGTAACATACCTTGTAAGGAGCACTGAAGAATCTAAAGGTGACTGGCATGGTCCCAAGCAAGGTAGATTTTCAAAATTCTTATAAAATAATTGACTTTGAATTTAAGATGTCCTCTGCACAGTTTTGGTGTGCATCTGAAGTACCATCCCAATCACTCCCAGTTGAACAGTGCAAAACCAAGGACTCCATGGAGGAAAGGGTAAGATCAAAGCTGCCCATCCAACTTCACCTTGCTTCCCTCCCTCCTGAATGTGCACTGTGGCACAGCTGTGCAGTCACAATGTCTGGTCTTTTCCCTGAGAAGCCCAGCAGGATGGACAACGAGGGGCAGCTTTTCGGTACTTGTTCAGTAACAGCCCTGGACCTTCATTGCTGCACACCTTCCAGGCCTGTCACAAAGACAGTTAATAGTTTCATCATGGGTTTTCCAAGGATGTTCATCCTCGTATTTTCCAGGTATATACATTCCAGGGCACTCTACGAGAGGGGAGAAGACCCTTAGGGCTGTGGGTGTGCACGTAAGTCTGTGGAAGTATGTGCATGGGAGATAAAAGTCGTGCCAGCACCCAGATTTTGATAACTCTCCTCATAATCCTGCTGGCCAGGGCCAGCACTCCTCCTGCTATGTCACTGCCTGGACCAAACATCCTTTCCTTGCGACCCTCTTCTTCCGTCACTGCACATTTTGCACCCTCCATGTCTTCCCTGCTCCTCTAGACACTTCTGTCTTGTGTGTTGAAAGAGCAAAGAATTTTATGTACGAGAAACCACTAGGTGACTCCATGACTAGGACTAGCTTGTTTCTGCAAGATGGTCAGTGACGAATTCAAGCAGCGAATGGACGCGTGCCAGAGCTCCCCAACCACATAGTCCAAAGGAAGGCTGAGAACACCTATCTGTGCCCTTGCAATATTTGTACCCCTATGAACAATGTGTAGTGTGAACAAAGGCAATAAAGCCTCTGGGGGGAAGTGACACATTTACGAAGACCATTAATTCACAAAACCAGCCAGAATACAGATAAACCTGGAAATGGAAACATTAAAAAAAAGCCACCAAACCTGCAGGTTCTTATCTTCCAGACTTTTCAAGTGTAAAATCACCCTAGCCTCTGTCTGTTTCAAGACTGCATGAGTCATATCCTTGCTAAGTGGAATACTTAAATTGAGCTTGTTCAGCATTTGTCCACGATGGAAGGAAGTTCGTTAGTAATAATAGGAAGTGGAAAGCACAGGTCTTGTTTTCTTAAACCCATGTACTTCACTGTTTTCTTACATGGTCTGAAGCAAATGCATTTGTCATCGTAGTGGCATGATTATTTTTGCTAACCTGAATAACCTGAACAACAGCAAGAAATACACTTTATCTGTGTAACAGACTGTATCTATGTGCATTTAGCCACTTCTGTTGTCATTGAACCTTTCACATGCCTTTCCTTACCTTCTGACCACTGGTGAATTGCAAGCAAGAGCCTCAGACTGCACTGTTGTTTTGCTGAATACAACTGCAGTTGTCACAGACTGCAGTCAGAAGTTATAAAATTGAATATTTCATTGTAAGTTGAACTCAAACGCTAAAGATGCCTTCTAAGCTCTTGGATGAAATAATACGATGTAAAACCATCTTTGAAATAATTGTATTAAATGCTTTTTTACAGAGCTTTACTTACAATGGATCTAGCTAACAGAACAATTTAAGGTCTATTTGGAAAATATAGCATAAATATGATAAGCAAATATTTTTTTAAAAACCTTAATTTCAGCTATTGAGTCTGCAGAGCTACACAGTTTTAAGTAATACCTAGAGAAAAATTCAGCATGTTAAAACTAGAAACTTATTGACTATGAAAAAGTTTATCATTATTATGCCCTTGATTAAAAAAATCAAGAGATGAATGATAGATACAGCAGTTACCTCTCAGAAAGCTGTTCTAGACACTTTTACTCTTTGCAATACCTGAAAGATTTTCTGGGTTACATTGGCTTTTCTGCATTTTAATTTCACTTGCCTGTGAATATTTTTGGAAAATTCCAGTTGTCTAACCTTCTGTCTTTGAATCCCATTTCCCTTGCTATTTTTTCTTTAAAAATTTGTTTTCATGAGCTACTGTATTTTTTCTTCCTTGTACTTCTATTTCAGGTTTACTTGTTTGGATTGTGATGCAATTTCTGTGAGTCACTGTTTTCAGGCACACGAGCATCCATGCTGGCAGGCAAATATATTGATTCAAAGCAGTAATTTTTTACTTTCACCATAACTTAAAGTAGGAGGAAAAATTGATTGCAAATAGCCACAGTCCAGATTAAATACAGATCTCTGATTTCAATTAGTTTGGGATGTTTTAAGAGTTCCATATTTAGCCAGGGCAGTAGGTGGACCACACCACAAATTTGGTGTCTGTACACCTATAAAAATGTTTCCTGAAGACTTCCATACTGGCCACTCTCTATAGGTTAGAAAAGCCATATTCCATGGCTACTCTCAAATCACTGTGTGTCACAGATGATGGCCAGCTTCCCTTCTCTACATGACTTCCGCTCTCCCTCAGGTTTTTCTCAAAGAGTATTATCTGATATTATTCTGACATCTAGAACATAATGGCTGCATTTAAATAGAAAATTTCAAAGTGAACATAGTTAACTGCAAGTAAAGGTCTGCTGTCTGATCTATCTCCATCCAAAGCTAGTCTGTTAATCAAATAATTGTATGTACTTTGTGCAGTTTCCAACGAATTCACTGAAATCACCAGACTGGCTGACGTTTTCAAAATTCGATAGAAAAATCTGTGACTAAATAAAAAAATTAATTTTTAAAATGACAAACCTGTTGTTCAAAACACACAAATACAGACAAAAAATAATACATTCCAGATTCTGCAGCATCCTGTGCTCAAAGCAAAACCCTGAAGTCTGTACAGGGTATGTTTGCCATCAGCACAAAACTCGGACAAGGCTTTTCCAGCACTCCCAGGCTTCACATCCCAAGTGTTGCTTATTCATTGTGTTTTTTTTCTCTCCAGCTTTCAGAAGGTAACAGTGAAAACTGGACCCTCAGATAACAACATGCTCTGAAGAAAGGGACAAATACAGTGTTATACTGCCCGTGGAGCATCCCAGTATACAGCACATGCCTCAGAGCGGCAGTTTCCCCTCATGTCTCTGCACTGCCCAGGGTAAGAAAGAAAGCAGTGCTGGGCATGTACGCTGCCCCTGCCCCGGAGGCTCAGGAGAGGTGGAGACAAGGCTGTCCTCTCCCACTGCCTCCTCATACTCTCCTACTGCAATATCAGGTGCTTGTAGTAACAACAGAGCCTGTTTTCACACCTGTGCCACAGGGAATACTGTAGGTATTTAGCACAGAGGAATGAAGGGGCAGCTTTTATTTTTTTGTCCCCTTTGCTGCTGGAATTACTGGGGAACATTTTGGTGACAAAAAATGTCCCCAGGAGTTGTCCTGATTAACATAAAATCACAATTTTATAATAGGTCAGTGATACTAATAAAAACTAAACTTCTGTTGGGAATCTTAAGTTCATAGCTTTCAATTACTAAGACATATTTCAGTACGAATGACACATCAAGTTGAATTCCAGCCTTATGAAGATGTAACAAGCTGCATCTGTCAAGCAGAGTTAAAAATACACAGTGATTTAAGAACATTCAGAACATAAAACGGATTTTCTATATCCGCTTTTAATGAAAAAAATACTGTATGAATAGAAATGGAAGTATAACAAAGAATTTTCAATTGATCCAGGAAAATACAGGGATAAATAGAGCAAATAAAACTAACATTTTACTTCCAGGTTATGTGTATATCACGGAACTCCTGTCTGTACTTACAGCCACATATGTTTCAAAACAGACTGGAAAATCAGAACAAAATATCCTCACAGTACTTTTACTGACATATTCTCAGATGAAAATATGATGGTAGCATTGCTATATTAATTTTTCATTTCTTGCGTGCCAAAAAGTACAATAAAAAGACCTTCAAGATATCCTTATGCTTGAGGAAGGAAAGTTTGATCTCATCTGTTTCATTGTAGTTTCATAAATTGCAAATTATTACTGGCAGTACTCTTGTTTGATAAAAAATAATTGTTACTTCAATATTTAATGTGCAATTTCTCATATTTTATACAACAGTGTAAAGTTGACATGGGATAATAAAGCATAGTTTTCACCCATGAGGAGATCCATTTTAAGATAACTTCCAAATGCTTTAGGCATGAGGAAAATAATTTTAAAAATCTTCACCAAACTAAAATTAACATACATGTATTCCATATATTAACATTGTCCCTGCTGTATGCCTTAGTATGGTCCAAATTCCCAACACAGAGACTATTTATATCATTTTCTACTGTGTCCATATCTTCTTAAATTGGAAGAAATATGTTTAGAAAAGAAACCCGATCTACTAGAACATATAATGGGGATAGATTAACTTCAATTATGTTACTTGAAATAAAATATCCATTATATAATGGATGAAATATCCATTATATTAAGCTACTGGCTGGCAAGCATTAAATCAAATATAGACTTCTACATACTCTGTATCTGTAGTAAAGTATTTTAACATATTAAACAGACCTTTATTTTAAAATCTCTTTCCAGCACAGGACCAATCCTGTATTAACTGCCTCACATAAGCTAGTTGAGAGTTATGAGGAGCCCTGTCTTTTTTGGTACTGTATTCTGAGCTTTTCCAGTTGCTCTACACACTGCGTCTGGGCCAGCTTCAGTGTTCGGTTCTCCTCTGTCAGTTCTGCGTACTCCTTAGCCAGCTGAGCAGCATCCATGCTTTCTTTTTCCACTTGTTCCAGCCTGGCAATCAGCTCCTTTCTGATGATTATAAAAGAAACCAAAGATTACAAATGGCAGTATGCAAAAATTTGTCATCGTGTGTTAGGTCAAAGCTGGACTATAGGGTGTTAACATGGTGTTACTTGAGCTTGTGTGAAGTGGAGAACTAGTAAATTGATTTGTTAGAGTCCTCCTTTTCCCTTTAAAAGATGAAGCTGCCAAAATCTCTGATAGGTTTGCTGTTCAGTGACCAAACCTGCAAAATGCTGATGCCTTTCAAGTGTCTCTAGCTTCAGTAAGAGTTGAACATGCAGTTCATGAGGGAGAATCAAGTTCCTGGAGACTACATGCATGAAGAACAATTTTATTTTTCTCAATACCAAACGTATTTTAAAGTGAGCAAGGGTTTTTTGGTTGGTTAGCTTTGTCAGTAAACTCCATGAACTACACCTGATTTCCTTTTCTCTGCTACAAAGAAAAATTACTGACGTGAATCTGAACTACATATACTGCTTATGCTCAGACCTTAGCCCTACTGCTGAGGAAGACTGACAGAGCTGCAAACCTGACCCCTCCTGGACTTTTTAAGAGCAGACACAGGATGATTCAAACTGTTGCTTCTTTCTGGATGGAGTCACACAGTGCCCTGTATTCCCAGAGCTGGCCAGGAGCTAGAGTCTCCTGTATAGTATCAACTGAAATTACCTCAGCACAAGTTAAGATAAAAGGGGTCTTAAAACAAAACACACTGAAGGCATGAGTAACTCACAGGGTAATCTAATCACCCTCCACTTAGTTACCCAGCAGGCTAGCCTGGCCTCTGCTTTTTTTCCCCTTTAAGTCAAATCATGTATTCACCTCTGCTACAGGAAGTCTCTTCTAAAAGCTTCTTTTGATCATTCTGTCTCAGAGATTAGTTAATCTTTAGCTGTTCATAGCCCTGTGACTTTATTTCTCAGTTATGTCAAAACAATGTTTGTAGATCATCAGTGGGAAGATGTAATGCCTTCAAAGGAGATAGCTTTTAGTGCAGTCTTTAAAGGAGCCCTCTTGTCAAGTTAGACCAGTGCTTTCAGACAGGAAATTCCTACAGATCAGTAATTCTATCATCACAGGTCAGGGTATTAATGAAATGATAACATTTCAGTATTTGCTGATCACTTACATTAATTACAGCAAAATTGTAAGCAGATAGGTTTTGAAAAATACTTCTATCCTTCTTTTAGGACTGGTTTGATCTTCCTCTGTCTTTACTACTGCTTTCAGTGGTAGCACAGTCTGTCCATGGTTCAGCTGACTGTTTACAGTCACAGTTACTCCAGTTCAAGGAGTCACAAGCTAGAAGAGACCCCTGGCACTCTCATTTCTCCCAACTGTGGTTCTCATAAAAAAAAAAAAAAAAAAAAAAAAAAAAAAAAGGGGGGGGGGAAGACTTAGTGCCCATTACAGCAATTTTACATCATACAAAAGATGCAGTATATAGAAACTCTTCTGTAGCTAAATATGTTAGCTTTGTTTTATGCTCCTCAGGTAATGCATAGCAGGTGTGCTGAGCAAAGCCTCTTCTCTTTCCTTTCCCAGGTGAAAGGTATATTCAACCAGGTCTTCAAGAGAAAATGTCAAGAGCCTATTTTTGTTCAGCAGAATTCTGTTAACATTCGTCAAAATATAGTTGTAAAAAATTTTAAAGCAGCAAGCCATTAAGAGATTAACTTCTCTGTGCTTGGGCCATGCTAGATCAACCAATTTTCAAATTGGCCAAGATAAACTGATCTTGCTAGACAGTTCGATACTCCAGCTCCTATTAATGGGACTATAGACCACAAAGGAGTAATTGCATGTATGCTTTAGAGAGTAAGACATGCATTTAGGGATGAGATTTTACAAGTCCAGCAGCTTTAATCACTTCAGTGTCTTAGGGCTGCTTCTTGAAGATTTTTGTCTCTAAGGACCAAAAGAGAGCTTCAGCAATATTTCTTTGCAATTATTCTACTGGTACAATGCTGGACTGAAGGATTAAATTAAGCTCTTTCAAATTACAGACTTTTGACTCAGAAGTATTCCAAACAAATTAATTCAGAATCATTCTTCCTTACTTTTCTTACTTATGAAGTTCTTAAAGGAAGATGCAGGGAACACACTAATAAGTAATCAGCTTCTTAAAAGAAGGTAAACCTTTCACATGAGGACTTTTAGTATGTGTAAAAGAAAGGTACTGACTACTCTATTTGGACTTGAGCCAGGAGTGGCACAGACAGACACTGCAAACGCAGACAGCTCTATTAATGAATGTCAGTCCTGATTTCATACCATGAGGCTATGTGCAGGCATGGCTTTCGTGCTGCTCTACAGCAATACTCAAGCAGCACAGATAACTTTTTCCCCCCGAGATTTAACTTTACTATTAAACAAAGTATAAATACGTTAAGATCAAAATATACTCATTGCTGCAGTCCACACTCTAGGACCTCCCTCGCAGAAAGCAGTTTCCTTGCACTGAGGTAGTAAAATTGCCCACTTCTGAGTCAGCAGAACCTACTTATTCCCTTCCCATCAGAATCAACACCTGTTTACAGGGTAGGGTGATGTTTCAGGCAAATACTGCCAGCCTGCCATAGAGATCTAAAATTAGAGTACCAGGCAATTGCTAAATGTTATGAATGGTGTGGTTTACGAAGCTCACAAAAGGATGAGGACCGTAACTATCATTTACTTCTGATCTAATCCAAGATTTGAACTTAGCTTCCAGAGGTTAAAGAACACCATACCAAGCTGTTGCAGCATCTAGCCTTTGTTATGGATGCTTAATAAATAGACTAGCACTGCGTAATCTGTGTTTTCTGTTAATGGTTACCCTGAGTTTAAATATTAACAGCATTGATATGGTATTTTCTAAAATGCTGCTGAGGTACTTGAAGGTTTGAGACAATCTTTAATGTACACTTTTAAGTGTTCTTTTTCCGGGAGGGGTTGGGATGAGAAGGGAAGACAAGTGTGATTTGCATCATAAACCAATAAACCACAAGCCATACCAGAGCAGGAAAAAACCCCAGCATATTCCTAGGGAAATTATTTCTCTTGTCCTGGCCTTAACGACTGACCATGCAGAGAACAGAATTCCTTTATAGTAATATTCACAATTAATAAATACCAAGAAAAGTAACAGACGAAGCAGATAAGTGTTCTGTGAAGATAAGTATATTTGGAGATGCACTGGACTCAAGGAAAACAGTTTCCACAATGAAAAGAGGCAGACTTGTCTTTCCCCCGTTGTGAACAACATATTCAGGATCATGCATCTGTGGTACTACACATTTCTTCCCAGCTAACATGTGTCTGTGTGTTCTGGTGGCCATAAGGTCATTTACTAATCCCATATTTCATGGCTTTCACATTAGGAGACACTATAAGGTAATTGCTGTCTGAGGAGACTGCTCTTGCATGTTCAAAGTCTACTAATTAATTTTTAAAACAATAAGATAGATTGTTTTAATGTAAATAAAAATATTTCTTGGATGCCAGCACACAGGAGGTCCATAAGTATTCATCATTGCAATAGGGCAAGTTGATGTTTCTCTTTGTATTAGAAAAGCTGTAATTTCCACTATTTGTCAAGTAACACATATTTTGGATACATGTGAGATGATGAAAAATCAGTTATAGAATGGGAAAATTATTAAAATAAAAGATTGCCTTTGTGGCTTACACCAGTCCTTTTCTGCAGTACCTGAAAGTCTGAAGACTACTTGTCAACAGCGTTGTGAAAGACACTCCAGAAATAGTGTATCTGGAGAAACCATCTGGACTTGAGACCATAGAAACAGTCCTATGCTCATGAGAGCACACAAAAGCATACAGAGGATCCCACAAAATTAAGCAGACATCTCCACTGCACGTCTACTGTAATACATGTAAGAGAAGGAAAAGAAATCATATCCATGGCAAAGAAAAGGAACAAAGCTAAAGCAGGTGGTGATCAAATTATATTTTCTGGAGAGTTATATTAGAATTGTCTGGGGGAGAAAAAAGAGAAAACCAGCCAGTGCTAAGAATATAAGATATAGCTAGCAACCATGGCAACTCAAATATTTAACTACATAATCCAGGGTCATTATCTAGTAATAGCAATATAACAAGAGCTCAAAATAACCAGCCATCCCATCCCTTTCACCCAAACTTAGATACCCAAAAACATCTGTTATGGAAATACATGTGTTTTTCTGGAACATAAATTAAATTACATTCTATGACCTAAATGTGGTGTGTTCTCACTTCCACACCCTTTTCTTTCTTTTCGATCATGTCTCCCATTCCATAGTGATTTTGTCCCTTGTACTGCATATCGCTGTCATAAATGGGAAGTCTGAGCCAAGACAGCAAACAAAGCTATGATGTTTTAAATTATCAAAAAAACTTACCCAATATGTTTTTAAATTATTATAATTTCTTGCTTCCTTTTCTTTGTCTTTTCCCTGAGAAACTTCTTTTCCCCTCTTACTTGTTTTGTCCTTTGATTTTCCCTTTTTTGAACTTACAACCTCCCTTTCTCTCTCACATTTCCCATTTTCCTGTGAAATAGTTGTTGTCTTCTCTCCCACTCCCAGCCTGCTACATTCTCTTGCCATCTACATTGCTGATAAGGGAAAGGTACAAATAAGCTCTGTTCTTGTCCTGATGAAAAGCAACCCTTGCTGCTTCACACCACTGCCTTTCTGTACTTTGGCCATACTACACTACAGTGAGAGGCAAGTCAAGCCAAGCAGAATTAAAAGCTTTGAAAAGTTGCAAAAGAGTAAATGTTTTTTAATATTTTAAAACAATATTATTGAACTTTCTATTTCTTAAAGATGCCTCCTTTAGAAATATACCTGCATGTATTATTTCATGTATAAAAAGTCATGCTGAACTTTGGAGGTTGGAACAAAAATTGTTCAAAGTAGAATGAATCTTCCCATTTTTTTTAATTACTAAAGAGCTCCAATACCTGTAAGGACGTTTATGTCAGGTTAACTTAACACCATTTCTCCCTCCTAGCCAACAAATCAAAAAAACTTCCTCAATCCATTTTCTGGTCTTTTCCCAACAATCATTGTATTCAGTATTCTGTGTGCACAGTGTACTATCACTAGGCACCACAGGTGCAGACACTGCCAGGTGGGACTTGATATTTTAATTCCACAGGTGGATTGATCTATGGAGAGGAAGTTCAGAGCACTGTCAGGGGTACCATTCAACAGCACTGCTGGTTGCCTTTGGTAAAAATGTACATTGAAGAACACTGCACACATTGTCTGTTCCCATCACAAGAGATGAAACTCTATCTTTGTCCATTTTGTCAAAATAATATTTTAAAAACCAGACAATAGATAGCAGGTGTATTAGGCAATTGTGAATCTGTTCAAATTCAAATGCAGAAGAAGATAAAGATACCTGGAATGGGCAAATTTCAGAAAGCTGCAAACAACTCCATCTTTTCAATTTGATTATAACTGCTTTTGAGGCTAAAAGCTGTGCATCTCAGACTTTTTAGAAAAGTCAAAGCATCTTTCCCTTCTGAGAATGGAATATTCAACATGCATGCCACCCCAGCCATTATAATCCACTCTTCTCTTTATTCAGCATATGCTACACCATAAACTTCCTTCAACTTTCAAACTGTAACTGTTGAGAACATTTTTATATGTAAATAAGTGATCACTAGATCAAAACTGTCTTACATCTTGCTTACTCCTTCACCTCCACACTTATTCTCCTTTTCTATCTAGTTTTATATAAAATTCAAGGTTAATATGTTCAGGTTCTGTATGCTTACGTGCATGTAAAGGTACCTGTGTCCTAATAACTTTTTAATCCACCTTCCAATTTCAGGTCCCAATTAGTCTCTGGAAGGTTTTATAAAAAGACCGCTACAGAAAGGAAAAGACACTCCAGAGGGGAAATGCAGTGTTGGGAGATGTCTTCAAGAATACTACAAAATAGAGCATCTACCTGGAGAGAGGGGCCATAGATAGTTCCCGTCTGGAGGAAAAAAGCTTCAGTTGGCACTTGCCCCTTTTTAAACCTCAAAATTAAGTAACCACAGTGCACCAACCTGTAGGAAATTAAGCATCTTCAGTCCCAGTGCTTGTGGGACCACTTCTTCAGATTAAGAGATTTGGAAGGTGGTGAAAGGTGCTGCACTGATATTTGTCATGTTTAGGCATTTCACAGCTATAGAGTATGTGAATATCAAGGCCACAAATATATAATTTGAAGACACATAAGAATCACAATAATATAACTCTATTTGCTGCCTTATTCAGCCACTCTTTTTTTAACATATGTTTAATGGGGCATGACATCTTCTATGCACAAAACAGGTTCAGTAAAGGTAGCTGAGGTTCCACTGTTGACATCCACTGGTGGAATGAAGGGAAATGCCAGCCTGAAGCCCCTTAATTCATCCAGGATAACCACTGCTCAGAGGCTGACTTCTGGGCTCAGAGGTTGATTAGGATAGTTCTGAGTTCAGGTAAACAATTTTGTGCATGTATCTGCCATTCCCAAGGAGCAAAATATTTCTAATTCAGCTACTACCACAGACTCCATAGACAAACAAAAATGTATTGAACAGCATTTTTCTTTGTTCTAGTAAATGCAAAAATATGTATGTGAGTCTAGTTTTTAAGGGCTCCAAGCTTACTTCATAAATGTGTATAACTGATTCAGGGATGTGTCGGTAATAATAATACATTTATATTAGTAGACTCTAAAAACTAAATTATCTCATGCTACCTTTTGAGTTTATACATCTAAAGTTAAGCATTAAACAACCATTTAATATTTTATATTCAGTTTGGATTTTCAAAGAAGACAAACACACATGGTTTCCACTGAATTCACTTGGTTGCTAAATACACATGCAAGCAGTTTATATTAGACAATCAAACTTGAGAAATCATTGCAAAATTATTTTAATTATCTTCTCTACAGCTTTTTAAAACCACCAATTACTTTTGATTGGACAAGTTCAATTAATGATGACTCAAATGCAAACACTGGGACAATATAGTGTTAATCTCTTTTGGTTATTTTTTCCTGATTGTTAACTTTTGTTCCAATCTGTCAGCAATTGAGTGCCATACAGGTCTTACAGTGGAAGGGGATTTGTAGTGGGAAACCTCAACTAGTTCCAACACTTTAGGCAACAACTAACTATATTGTGCCTGTAACCACCAACTCGATAAGGACAAGTCTCACTTTCCTACCCTGCATAGTCTGGATTCAAGGAGATCTTTGGCTATTTTACTTGTAAGGCTACAGAATTTCACCAGTTTCCCTCCCATCAGCTTTCTCCTCCAGCTGAAGACTCCCATGGATACAAACGTGGCTGAACTGCATGGTCAGTGGTGTGAAGATTGCTATGAAACAGATACAGTGGTCCACTTTCTACTCAAAGCCCACTCTGCAACAGAGCTCTTTCAGCCCTGTTGCCATATTACAAATGTTTCTGTTTAAGCAGTATTTAGAAGAATGATGGTATGGTCTTCATTTTCACAAGAAGTCTCAGAGATCAACACTGATGCAACTCTCCCTGAAGAAGGCAACACTGCTTGAAGTCACCTTCAGTGGGAATGTAAAATTTAAAAAAAAAAAAAAAAGCATTTAAAAGAGAAAGGTTTCTTAGCAGTAACTGTTATTGGGGTTGGTTGTCTTTTAAAAAATTTCACTACTCCCCCTCTTTGCTCTCTCTGAATTTTTTCTTCAGGTTTCTTGTGGAAAGGGACTGAGAGTCAGAGAGTGCACTTTGCCATTTAATAGTAATGCAAAGATGACAGGGGTATGAGTATAGGCCAAAGACAAGAATAAAAGTCTACAGCTTATCCATCCACTTTGGATATGAACACCTAAAATGTCAATGCACATAGACAATGCACTGCACAGAAAAATATTTACCACTATCGGCAAGTACTTCAGAGCTAACTGAGGATCCATCATGCTCTTCATTAAAACAGGTGAAGTTAAATTGAAAAAAATATCCCTAAAACTGCAAAGGGGACTTGCACCAGCTGAACTAGACTGTTACGTGACCTGGAGGCTGTCAATGAAGGTTTCAAGGGATATTTGTATAAATGAGGGCCCAGAGCTAGGACGAATTTGTGTCCTTAGTGGCCCCAGTTGATTCTATGGACCAATGGCCTAACGGTTGTGCTGTACTGTGACTGTTGGGCAGAGGTATACGGTCAGAAAATATAATGTGAAACCCTCATGTTTAAAACAGGATTTTGCAAAGAGAATATACTAAGAAAGTTACTCACTTTCTTTCTTCCAGCAGAGCAATTTCTTTCTTGACTTCATGGTACTCTTCTGCTATTTTGCAGTGCTGTTTGTACACCTGCATAGATTCCTTAGAGTCATGACAAGGAGGCAGCGGCTACAAGAAAAGAAGAATAAAAAAAAATATGTATACTGCTTTTGAATTAAATATTAGGAAAAACACATGTTCTGAAAGATACAATATTTATTTAATTCCTGGGAGAATACTTAAATAACTTTTTTGCATCCCAACTACAGGATACGGCCAAATATTCCTAGTGATGGCCTTTCACAGAAGGGAAAAAAAACACACTTTACTGCATAAGAAAATGAATAAACTTACAAACCTTGTAAAGGATTTTCAGAACTTTCCTTGTCAACTTTGCCTAAAGATTGTTCAAAGATTGTATCCCTAAAGATTGTTCAAAGAAATACTTCTCCCTTACCTCCCTCTTTTTCAGCTACAGTGATAAAAGAATGCTAAAGTTGATGCATTGGTCAGACCCATAAAATACATGAGCATAAAATACATTTCTCACTACAGAAACTGCAGCACTGAGCAGAAGGGTATTTGAGTGCAAACAAGCTCTTATTCTCCAATTCTGTGATATGAGAAGAAAAGACATGGAAAGCTCTTGACTAAACACTCTTTTTTTCACAGATGTAATGCTTCTTACAGCTTATTACTACATGGGACAGGACCATGAATTGGGACATGGGGGCTGATTCTGCTGGACTCAACAGGAGTTTTACTGGTAACTCCAGTGCAGCCAAGATTTCACGATGGGTTCTATCCCAGCAATGCCTCAAGCTGTAAGTAGTTTGCTCAAGGTCATACTCAGTTTCTCTGCATCTCTATTTCCTGTAGAAGAAGGGGATATACTTAGTCAGCAGAAATGCTATAAGAGTTAAATCAGCTATATTTGCAAAGTGTTTGAAATTTCCATGAGAGGTGCAGGTGAGATAGATTGAGAGTAGAAGGATGACAGCAATTTTAAAAATGAGAAAGACACAGTGAAGGCAAAAGCACTGTACCTTCTCACCTTAAGATTTTAATTTTTTTTCAATGCACACTGGAGGTGCATATGACAAAGAAAACCACTCTCTCCTGGGACTCCCCATATGAATTTCAACCACGATCTTGAAAATACAGTTTGGTTAAATGTCAGTGTTTTTTATTCCTTAAAAAGACCACAACTTAATTCAGGCTTCAGGCTTGACTATCACATTTTGGCTGTAATACTTTCAGGAAGTGTAGTATTTTTGAGGTGTTAGCCATGAATCAATTGACTGTAAATGAACTCCGAATAGCATGCTTGAGTCACCTGTCTGAAGCAAAAGGAAGCACTTAAAATAGCTCCTTTACTGTCCAGTTAAAGAACATCCTATTGCCTTTCACAATATAAGTAGATTATTTTTTATTTCTTCTTGTCCTACTTTGACTCTTCTCTGTAGTATAATATTCCTTCAATGACATTGTTAGGATAAGAAAAGCACAAGTTTTCAGACTTTTCCACGATCTTGCAAACCTTTGGTTTAGCTGAACTGGAAACTTAAATTTTACTAAATGTATTCAGAGACAAAGATTAAAATTATTTATATGCAGAGGGCACAGAAAGTTGGCTCCAGATATACCCCAATGCAGAGAGGTAACTAATGTATGGACCTTGCAAGTACTTGTAGATGGTATATCATTCCTCACTAAAATTTTAAACCAGACACTTGTTTTCCAGGTTCTAAATGTAAAAATGCTGTGGCAGAATTGTTCCACGGCACATTGTTTTATTCTCTCTGAGCTCGGAGAATGTGGAACCCCAGGAAAAGGGCAGTCCATATTACTTGATGAATCTGGTCACTAGGAAAGGGCTTTTAATTGCATTTCAAGGTGGATGAGCAATAGCACCATTCATATTGCCACCCAAATAATAAGCATAAATTTAACAAGACAGAATATAGAAGTCTCGGTGCTCTAATCCAAGAATGCAAGGGTGAGTCAAAGTAGCATCTCTGGTATCTTCCAGAGATCAGCAAACAACAACTGTGTCACAATAAAACAATTCTGAATACTAGCCAGGGGGAAAGTCCCCAAACAGTGATATTTCAAGAGAAAAAAACCCTTACTTTTGCATCCAACTTAGTTTCCAGAAATCTAGCTGGTTTAAACCAGTTTAAAAATGAAAGCAGCATTCAGTTTCTATATTCCAGCTTCCCACTCAAAAGATATATATAGAGAGCTAAAAATTATCTAGTCATGCTGAGACTTAGTATCCAATTCCCACTTAGAACCAGTTGCTGACTTTCAAACCCCTTCCTATCATTGTTTCCTCTTCAGTGTCATTTTTTCTTACATTGATATTTTATCACTCCAAATAAACTGACAACAGAAGATACAGTATACTAATATTCTGCTCATACAATTCTTTTCCATCTTGTCTGATGCTATCAGGCACTATACCAAGAACTTTTTAAATTTTGAGTGTATTTTTATTTTAAAGTGTAAATTTTATTATGTTTTTATATGCCTAAGTGACTGGACAATTTGGTTTGCTCTTTTGTAATTTTGAAATTTCTGAGAAAGGTTTTGGAGATAGTATCTACAGTGTCCATGAGTAATTTCTGGCCAGCAGGACATGAAAGAGGCTTATGCATTAATTTTTTGATAAACATCTCTACTGTAATCACAAAAAAAAAAAAAAAAAAAAAGGAGAGACACAAGTCTGGTCAGTTCTTTGCTGGCCACTAGAAAATGCAAGCCAACACAAAAGAACAGAAAAATTATTTTACCCATGTCTAACAGCCTACTTTTTTGACAAGAGTGCAAAGTATTAATGATACATCTGTTCCCACCAAGAGACGCATTTTCAGAAGATGGCAGGGCAAACTCCTGAAAAACAAATGCAGAAACAGAGGCTAAACTTGCTTGTCGCAAAGGGGTAATTCCAACTAGCCAGCAGACATTTACAGTATTAACTTATTTCCACAGAAAATAAAATAACAGAATAGTAACAGTTACTGGACTAGCCCATACGCCTCTAAATGAGAATGGGAGGATCCTGCAAAATCAGCAAGTCTGGTCCCCTTTTATCAGAAGCAAATCCTGCAATTCACAGGCTTGCCCATTTCTGCCTTAGAATAACCGAAGTCCCTTGCCTCAGTTTTAAGACTGACCCAGAGCCGCACCAAGGATTAGAAACATTTTTGTGTTTTCCAGTTTGGTTTTGTTGAAGACAGGCTTGTATAGTCTTTTATTGTGCCAGCACTATCTTTCACTCAAATGGTGGTTCTTTGTCCTACCTGTTTTACCCCTGAGATGTACTTATAGAGGGCTCTCATATACTTTCCCTGACCTATGTCTCAGTAAAGCTGCATTCCTCTAATCTATCCTAGATGAAATTTCCATTTTCCCTAGATTATCCAAGTTCCCCATTCCACCTGGAATGACTTTTTTGAATGCCTGTGGCCAGGTCATGGGAAGTGTTACAGATGCTACCCTGATGGCATCCCCGTGTCAGAGAAAAAGAACTGAAATTGCCAGTAGAAAGCATTTTTAATCCATGAAGTCTGGTTTGGGGTTTTTTTGTTGTTTGGTTTTTGTTTTTTTTTTTTTGGTAAGAGTTTGCTAGTTTACCCAAGCAACTAATCACAACAGGCCTTTATAAAGTTCAATTTGCAGTATATATTTTTTTCACTCAAAAGCCAACAGCCATACTTTAATTTCTCCATAGGGCAGCCTGAGCTTGTTACTTCATGAATTATCTTGCTCATCTATAAATTAATATATATAAAAGCATACCTGCTACATAAGCAAAAAACACCCCTGCCAAAGAAAGTTATATTTAATGGCAACAGTTGCTACTTTTAATCCTGCTTATTTCAGGCTTCAGTGTCATCCACCCCCATTTTCCTGTGCTGGCAAAATATGCGCATACAGCATCTCTGATTTTGCTCACAAAGCTAGTACAAAAGCTACAACTTTCAGTGATACTAGCGGTCTATCGTGCAATTTTCAACAAGATCTGATTTTTCCTGTTATTTTGTTGAACTCACTGTGACGTTGACAAACTTTCTACAGAATACAGCAAGTAGAGAGTAGGATACCCTGTCATAAGCTATTCTGTAACTGCACGTATGTAGGTACATCTTTACAAGACATATGCACTGTTTATTTAGATTTTTGTTTGGAATCCAGATATGAAAGATGTTGGAAGATGATATGCAAAAGCAGTTCATGAAGACATAGAAAGAGCCTGAGTGGTTCTGCCTGTTTTTTAAGACAGGTTGAAGGAGCTGTTCTAATTAAAATCTTTGCCGGGGGGCACCAAAAGGAGTTTTCATCAATTTTTTTCTTCACTTGTGTGACAAAGTGTGTTTTGCCTTGCTATATGAATATAAGCATTCCATATCCACAGAAGTTGTATAGTCAATAGTGTCACCCAAGTGACACTAGTTCGAAAACTTTAAAACAATTTCTTTTTTAACCCACCTTCATCTGTTTGCATTTACTTTTTGATTCTACTGTGAAAAAAAAATCTGAATTTTCTCCTGAAAAGGTTGAAGTTTAAAGAAAAAAATGTATTATGCAGTTTTGCCAGCTGAGCATGTGGATTCATCTCGAAGGAAGTCTTTAGCACTGATCTAAGTAAAGAGTGTTGTCTCACTTTCTGTAAATTTGGTAATTTTCAGCTAAATTATTCTGGAAAAGTTCAGTGCCAATATTTTGCATGTGGCCCATGTTGATTATATAGCTTTGTGTACTCTTCCATGATGTAAGAAACCACATTATTCCAAGCAAATGCAATAGCTGCATATTGAAGCTAATTTTTGTTGTGTAGCTGGAACTCTTCAACCAGTTTCAGATATCTAATCTAGGACATATCTAGGGAAGTGAGCAGTTCTCTTTCCTCCAAACAGTTCAAGTCAACTGCATGGGAGCAACTGAGAGTTTTGCTCTCCTTTCCTGAGAAATTTTCCATTCTTTTCTAACCTCAGTATGATGCTCTCACTTTGTAAACATCCATGTCTTACATAATCTAAGATCATAGTTATCACAGCAGCATTACAGGAGACTTACCAAGTTCATAGGCAATCAAATCTAATTATAGAGTACCACGGTACTCTAGGAATTCGCTTGGAATTTAGAACATATTAAAAAAAATACAGCATACCCTTTAAAAACACAGTGTACTTTTAAACTTTCTAAAATAAATTATATGTGTCTAACAAGAGCCTTGGCAATCAGTAGAACCAATAGTTCCATTATTAAAGTTCCAGAGTAAACAAGGTTTGTGCTAACTGCTTGTATCACACACAACAAACTGTTCCTTTCATAATATTTTCATTGCTTCTTGCTATAGACATTTCCCACTAAAGCATGAAAAACTACCCCTTGACTTAAAATGATATTGTAAATGGTTGGAGCCTTTTCTCTGTTGCAGCAATTTTACAGTCATCTAACTCCATTGGTCTCAACAGATTCATAACACAAAATATGACATAAATGCCCTCTCAAGCTCACGATTTAACGAGAAGAGATGATAAAGAATTACAGAACACCCTGTGCATCTGCATGTGACTTGTTTTGTTCCCTCTTCAGGATCAAACTCCCAGCTGGAATAAAGACTGATGGAGAAGAGGGAGATGAACTGAGCAAGTCACAGGAAATGCTGGAACAGGACACACAGCACACAGGGCATAGTAATGCGGGTACTTAACACTAGATACCTTCCTCCATATTCAGTGACCTAAACAACAAGGCGTTAGATGCTGATGTAGGTGTCTAAATATAGCAGATCAACTGTAGTAGAGTGTCTGTCAGGGGCCACCACCCACTATGCAGCTAATCAAGGAAGCGCCTTGCAAGACCCAGTCCAACTTTTACAGGAGGCAAAGGTTAATGTCTCCCAATAACAAACTGACAAATGCAGCAAGCCTACACTCGCTGCACTACCCACCACATTGCTCACACAAGGGCGGGGGCTGGGGGGAGGGTGTGGAAATGACACTGATGCCCAAATGAGCGAGTGCTTTAGCCTCATTCAAATTGTTGCTTGTCAGTGGGAAGAGAATAATTTCCAATACTGTAATCAAAAGGAATTGAAAGCAAGAAGTTTATTAATATGATCTTTGTTTCACTGGCAGCGTACCAGGAACATCTTTATATTTTTTAAAATACCAAAGCTGCAAAAGAGACCAGGCTTTTCCTGCATATAGCTTAAACTGTTCTGTTCTCATATGCAGGGCTTTTGTGTCTAGTTGACCAAACAATGATTTTTTTTTAAAGTAAAAAAAAAAAACAAAACAAAACAAAAAAACTAAAAGCAAAACTTTTGAGTTAGAGAATTGATATTTTGTTACAAATTTCTTCCTCTCAGAGTAGCAGAAAAAAGTAATATTCAAAAAGCTAATTGGAAAAGACAACATTTTTGGTCTTAACCTAGCTAGCAGATCAGAACACTAGACTGATTATTTTTATTCTTCAGAAAGAAGCTGTAACTTTTGACTATGACTGTCCTCTAGTAAGAGTCCTTACACAGAATTAGGTATTTGCAGTTAGTCTCCTAGAAATACCTTTTCTCCAGCCAGTCCTACCTCTACCTCTGTAAAGTTGGCACCAGCGCTCGAGCAGCAGGGTTTACTACCCTGTCAGGGGGAGGCTGCACTGAACTTTGCCCTGCCATCGGATGCCAGTGCCCAGGGAGTAGGTATGGTAGGATCGTGGCAGGAAAAGTGGGAACACTAGGTGATTCTGCTCAAACAGCCAAGTTGTCTGCCAGGGCCTAACATAGAAGGACGAGGGCTTGAAGCCTAAAACAGAGGTGCAAATTGCTTGGTACTCAGGCTGTGGTCTGCTGCCTGCATGCATAAAATTCTAAGGCTCTGATTTTCCAAGTCACTTGGTGAACTTATATAGCTTTCAAGCTGCTCTCAGAATCCATCCTGGTGATCAGCTAATTTGGCCTTTTTTGTTCATTTTTTTTGTTTTTAAAACAGGTTTCAAAATTTTCCTTTGTATGTTTGAAACCTGGAAAGTTAATACTTTTTGGTTTTTTAAGTGCCTATTATTGTATAGCCACCTACCCTGCATTCATAGTTTGCTTCTTTAAATAAAACACAAATGCTTTTGATTGTATTTATGGCATGGTGATGAAAATCTTGTGGCTAGATGTGATATTTTTATTATGAAAATATGTACCAGCATTCTTACAAATTCAAGCATTTCAGGCTGCAATGCCACAGTTGATTAAAGGGTTCATTTAGATGACACTTCGTGTGTACTGCTTTATATTAGCTAACTTTGGGTCAGAGAAAAGCGTGGATGGCCTGACAAGGGACACCACCATTCAGTACTTCTGCAGGTCCTGGTAAAGCCCATTTTGTAGTTTGCTTCTGTAATACAGGAGACACCTGATTCAAAGGCAGTATGGTCATAACATAAATTGCAACCACATGCTATACAGGGCTTGACACACCCTTAGGAGTTTAGATTATAGCAATTTAAAAAAGTAATTAATAAGAAAATGTAACTGTGCAAATGATAACTTTGTTAGTTATTGCTTGTTTGAAATTTTAAAGCGGTATAAACATAATGTAATTGCCTTAAATGGTTATAACTCTAAGCTGTGATCCAGATTGACAAGAGCAAGGAAATTCAAGCTTTCATGCCCTGTTACCTCTGCATCAGCTCAGAACCCTGTGTTGATTTACCTGCCTCTGGTTGAACATAAAGGCACCTAAATATAAATACGCACATAAGCTTGAAAAGCTAAAGGATGAAGCGCTACCACTAACTTTATACTTTTGAGTGGTTGAGTCAGCCAGATAGTCCTCCTAAGTTAGCCTTTCAACTACCTCAATATTGCCAAAATAGGTTTCTGAAGGATAATAAAAAGAACATTATCTGAATCAAAGCCTTTGATTGTTGAATTTGTTATCATATTGAAATAATGAGAGTAAAGGAAGGTTCTGTTGAAAAAAAAGTCAGGTACTTAACAGACCAAGAGGGTGTACTTAGTGGAAAGGGCTATTACTCAGCAGACTTGAGTGCTTCCAGAGAAGCAATTTCAATCTATCACGAAATTACACATTTAGGGTACATTATATGTTCCAGAAATGGGTCATAAAAGTCATTAAAAAAATCATCACTTGGCCTGTAAAGTACCTACATCACACACTAGTAATTTTGGTTTTATGTACCAACAGCAGTAACAACAATACTTGGTTCTTTCAGAGCAGTCTTCACTCACTGATCTCAATGCTCTTTAACAAAAAAGGTAAAAATTATTAACCTAATTTCAGAGATGAGCAGCAGGATGAAGCAACTCCTCCAGGATCACCCAATGTGTCACTGACGGAGTTGGAAGCAGAATGCAGGTTCTCTACTTTCAGTTCAGTGCTTCAGCCACACAACAATATTGCTTTCTCAAATTGAATTATTCTGAGGAAAAAATATATCAGTTGTCTGCTGCACTGGAAGATCAATGGAATAAAGAGGCCAACGTGTTCCTTTCAGCCCAAATCTTGGGTTGCTATTTGTTCCTTTAATCTTTCCTAGTTATGCCTAAGAAACCTGCACCTATTCTCAGGATTAGAGGGATACAGCAAGAAGAGTCTCTGTCATCCTTCATTCCTTCCTCTGTCATCCTTTTGACGAGAGCAGCAGGAGAGAAAAGTCAGACCTTTAAGTCAGTAGCCCTCCAGTGTTGTCGCACTAGTTGATGGGGACAGGAAGGATTACATCATTGGACAACACGGTCTGCTAATGCCTTTCTCAATTTACACTCAGGAAACAACTGCCTTCATATTGAAATATCAGAGGAAGTCTAAATGCTCCTGGGAAGCAGATGATCTGAACTAGTTTACAAAAGCCAACAAACACTCTAGAACCGCCACAGAGGAAAGGGAAATAATCCCTGGATACAAAACTGGCTCTGTGCCTGGTGAACCATGGACTTGCCATCAACTGCCATCTGATTCTCCAGTATATCAGGGCTCCACTGTGTTACGCTGACAAATCAGACCAGTCACAAAAGGATTCAGCACTTTTATCCCGTGCTGTCTGCAAACATCTGCTGGGGCATCTGTAAGGGTTGCTGGCTATGCAGCATGAACTAGAGTAACTTTGAGGAGGCTCTCATCAATCCTGATGACTGGCTTTAGTTACCCAAGATTAGAGATACGAGATGGTGCTGCAAAATACACCTTTGCATTCTCTTGGAATGCTTTAGAGAAAGCCGATCGTACCAGTCTTAGCACAGCCTGTAGGCATGAGAATATAATACCTGGCTCATTCCTTTTTCCATCAAAACCACAAGAACTCTCTTCATGGCAGTGCAGCAGTTATGTACTGTGTTTTGCACAGGAATTGTAAAAAAAAAAAAAAAAAAAAAGCAGGTGAGATTGTTAAAACAGTCATTTCCCTGGAATTGGATAAAAAATGTCAAATAAATTTCTCTGCAGATTTTGAAAGGACAGTGTTTTCTTCTACTGAAATATAGTCTTATTAAATGTTAATAAGTTAGAGAAGCACCGCTGAAAAGTTTCACCTTAGTGCAATAACTAGTGTTTATTTTTATCATAACAAATATAGTGAATGTAAAGTAGAACTGTAGTGAAAATTAAAAAAGATTACCTGCAGCTGCTGATCTAGTTCTGGAAATGCCAAAGGGAAGTTTTCAGAGGAAGCATCATCTAAAAGGTAAGCATGATGTTAAAAGTCAATGTCTACCAAAAAGGGCATTTCAAATTATCTGTTTAATGTAGTTCTACATTGCATATATTCACAATAATATCAGGATCCTGCAAACACCTTCACATCTGCTTATCTTTCTATACTTGTGATACCTTAGTAGACTCTTTGAAAATACTAGTGGGTTGGCAATAAGAAAACGTTTAGGTGCTGCAAAGACAGAAAGCCTGTTTGGTACTGCAGTGATTAAGAAACAAAACAAAGCTGGTGTAGCAGAACATCTGATAATTTGATAAAAACAATAAACCCAAACAATCTTTCTTCCTGAGCTCTCCATTACACTGCAAAGTAAAGAACCTGCCAGGAACAGCATCCTTACTACCAAAGAGTTCATTACTTGAATGAAGGGAAAGACATCTTCCCCATCCCATTACAATGACTTACCAGGGCTAAACCAACAATAATGGAAATCTTTTTTCCCACCACCCAAAGGCAGCCACGAGAACACACAAACCAGCCTGACAACCCCTGGAACTAAAAGCTGTTACCTACAGAGACGTGACTAGAATGGGGAAGGAACCACAAATTTCTCCATAGTGCAAAGAAATGTGTTTACTCTAACCTGTAGATAACAATCGTTACGGGCTAGAGTTAGTTCATTCATGACAACAAGCCAAACCATGTTTTTATTTATTTCTTTATTTTTAGTACAGGCTTCCAGCAAAGGTGGGACAGACTGTGCCAGTTATGTCAGTGTTGTGATGTGGACACCTGCCCACTAGTAGCTGGACTGAGATCAGAAATATGAATCATACTTGGTAGCGTCACAGCTAGCCACTGCAATATTTCTTTCTCAGTCACTTTCACACTAGCAGTTTTGCATTGGATTGTGACGACTGTTTATGCATCTTACTACAGGTTATGGGAGGTGAAGAGAAGGTTACCGTGAGCTAGCTTACAGAGTCAGTTATTTGTAATGTGTCAAAACTAAACAAGGATGACTCTCATAGGAGAAAATTACTAACATAGGTCAGATCTTGCAACCTGCTCTATGCTGGCAGACTTGTACACTACAACAGAACCCCAGCGAGATTAAAGAGGACCACGTATCAAAGCAGGATTCTCAATATTCTTAAAGAGTACAGACTAGGATTTAAATTACTTGTCAAATATTTGTTATCTCTTTTTCCTGCCCTCAGTGGTCATACAGCAAAGTGGGTTAGGGGGGAAAAGTAAAATAAATCACTTTATCCTATGAAGAATAAACATACTGGCTAACATATGGTCAGAGCCTTACTGTAGCTAACACCTAGCCTCTAGGTGTTACACCTTCCCTCTAGGAAGGGACGCCCAGAGAAGAAAAAAAAAATACAGTGATACAGAGGGCAAAAGCAAAAGCTTTTGTATGTCCTCAGGAAACAAAGTGAAGTTCTACATTTTCATGGGGTAGGGGTCTTGCTAATACTATTAAAAAGTCATACCCCCACCCCCCAACTTCATTTTTCACACCATTTCCCAAACACATCCATTCTGGAAAATACTTACATTGCTTTAATTGTATAGGATTGTATCATGCTGATATGCAAGTGTTTACCTTTATTTGCTGTTGCTTCCTTGTACAATATTTAAAAATAGACTAATATTCTAAAAGAAGAAAGATGAATCATACGGCAAGGCTAAAAGGAAGGACAGAATAGGACTCAGTCCGACTAGGAGTACAGCTGCTCTGCAAATATTTGGCTGAATAGCTGTTAAATATTCTGACAGAGATATTGGAACAGAGTCGTGGACAGCAGTTAAGCTGCTATTTGTTTTGACAATTCCAGCAGTACAGCCTTTGGTATAGTAGCTTTAAGGAGAGACCTCAATTTTAACTTAAGAAACACAAAGCAAATGCAACCCCAAGAATTTTAAAGAAACATCAGCCAATAATTACTTTTTCACTGCACTTGATATTAATAAGAAAACAAAATTAATGCAATGTCAGAATATTAGAAAATATATTGCATTATCTTCACAAAAGAATGAGTAAAAAAATTTGGAAATACTTTAAGAAGGTTGGAATAGAGAGAAATTACTATAGAGGAAATACTTTCAATAAACAGATGTTCCCTGCTTATTTTTTATACTCAAGTGACTGAGTCAATGGTACTAAAAATAGAATATATTGGTATCTTAACCATTATGGCATACCATAGTACATTTTATAATGGGCCTGCTCTAGCATCTATTGAACAGCTGCTAGGGTTTTTTTTAGTTATGCTCGTTTAAGACTTGTTTAAATCATCATCTGGTGTGCAGAACATCATCGAGCAAAGTTGGGGACTTTGGTGGTTTGAAATTTCTCTGAGTTCCTAATTCTCTTAGGCTCCTCTGAAATTTTCAGATGAAGTATTTAGTTTACAAAAATTAACAGAAATCCTCACAGATAACTGCAATTTTGTTTTCCACAAAAAAAAAAATCAAAAAACAAAACAACAAAAAACTTTCCCCACAGCTTCCAGTGAAATAAGTTACTGCATCAGGTCAGTCTGTATTTCACTGTTGTCAAAGTAACAACCACAACAATAACAACAAAAATCACTTGGTAAAAACTAAACATATTTAGATTTCACACAAGGGGAAACAAATGACAGCAGTCATTTGCCTCTTAAAACTTTTTGAGGATGTTTTCAGAAAGTCAAGAGGAAAGATATAAACTCCTGCATTTTTTCCCAAAGAATCACTATTGCCCTGACAAGCTTGAATATTGGGTGTTATGCAGGAGATCAGAAAAAAAATCACATTGGCTTCTAGCTCTAAAAATCTATGACTCTGAAAATCAGAAACATTGAAAATGTCTGAAACGTCAAATAAAATATTCTGAAGATCTCTCATAACTATCTCCTTATTTGTCTATATTAGTTCTTTTCTACATCTCCTTAACTAGATGATAGAATTCAGAAATCTCTCTTTTTCTCCTTTTCTCAATTGATTAGCAACATTTAATGAGTGCCTAGATTGTTATAAGGAATCACTGATATAATCAAAGACCCTCTTTAAAATGAAGTTTTTGGTTTTTTTCTGTACCACAAAACCCTGAAAATAACCAGGCTGATTCTTCACCAGATAGGAACAGCATCTCACCCCTGTGCTCACTGTTTTACTGCTCCCTTCCCTGTCACTCGTAAAGAAAAATGATTTATAGTTCAAGCTGGTTGTTTAAAACCTATTTTGTTTTAAAATAAAAATATAAAAAAATACAAGACTGCAACTTGCTCCATCTGAAAATGAGTCAAGAGTCGGGTCAAAAGAAAACAGGAAAGGAATAAAAACATACACATGAATGTCCCAGCAAACTCAACAGCACTAACCTGTGATGTGAAAGAGTCAGATCAGGGACTTCATCACAGCCACCTAAGTCAAAGTATCTGTTGCACGATTTCTAACTTAGTAGCACTTCCTGGTTTCCCATAGATTCCAAAACTAATTTTGAAGGTTTATATTTGAAAGTGCACCTGTACCCTGATGACAAGATGAACTCTCTGCACATACAGACGATATTTTTTTAACCAAAGACTTGGTTCATGTGTATGGAATAGTTTGACTTTCATGTTTGTTTCATCAGGTTCATACATTCACTTTGCTTGTTGCTGAAAACTGTCATTGTAACAGAGGGCATCTGAAGGAGGGTCTCTGGGGAAATTACTTCCTCCTCTTGCTTTCCAGCAGCTGGGCTGAGACAAAGTACCCTTTTATGTCAGTGACAGCTCTCTGAGCATTCCTACAGCAAAACTAACAACATAACAAAAGAAAAAGCTCCCTAAGGACGCTGCCCAGCCAACGCACCTTCATGCTGACATGGTGTGATGGGCAAGTTTTGTGCAAGGACAGCAAGGCTAAGCTGCTCAGCCTTCACTGTCCCGGTGAGCTCTTGTCTCTTTGCTGGCAGCGCCTATTAATACAAACATGAAATGGGCTTCTAATGTGTGGTACAGAGAACCACACAAGCCATCTGAATTAGAAGGCTGAACTGTATTAAGACTGATTGTCTTTATACAAAAGGCTTACTACTTATCCGTGATGTCCTGGTGCATTCAGTCTGCTGACATATGCTAATGTTGCACATTTGAGGATGAATCACGCTTTCTGGAAAGCTTCACCTATTTAATCATGTTCTGGCCTTCTGGAGATTCCAACAGCCCAGGCCTCCGTCATGTAGACGAATAAGCGAAATCCCTCACACTTCGCTGTCTGACTGACACAATGTCTGGTACAGTGAAGTGTAATACCCCGGTCTCTTCCTATATGGCTGCTCAGTTTAGCTGAACTGTGGGCTACATGCAATAGTTAATGAATAAATACTTTAAGAACAACATCTGATTTACTTGCAGTATAAACTTGCAAATTACAGTTTCTCTAGGATCTTCATGAAGATAGACAGAAATAGAACATAAAAATTTAAATGTGTTGAAAGCACATTAAGGTTGCTAAATCAAGCACTTGAAATTTAGGAAATGCCAATCACAGTTCTGCTTCCTTGAGTAACTGAGTTATGATCCAGTCTTTAATTATACAATCAGGTACTATTTTTTTCTCCTACATGCGTGGGCAAGTGTATTCAAATCTCTTCCTCCTAAATTAAATAATTAAATTGGTAACATAAGTAGGCTGTTATCCTGTAAGTGGATCAGCCCTTACACAGGAAAAGTGCTCAAATTCAACTGCAAGCACTGCAACTCGCAGCAGGACAACACTGGCAAACTGTGTATCGGGGTCTGGTCTTGGCCCTAGAAGGGTGGTGAGATCCAGCAGCTCCAGCCCTGGTTACTGACAGACAAGCATAGACTCATCGAATTCATCCTGGAAGGCTGTGTGGCTAAGTGACTGCGACTTGGCACTGCTGCGTGAAGCTCCCAGGCTTCTATTCACAGCCCTGCCTGACGTGACCTTACACAACCTCGCAGTTACCTCACTCGTAAAATAGTGGGGAATGGTCACTGCCTGACCCAGGAATAGGCTATGAAGGCTTGCTCAATAATAAGAGTTGTGGACCTCCCAAAAATAGAAATGGCCCATAACAGAAGAGATAAAAGCAAACCCCTCCTACTCCATATGCCGTCACCTAAGCCTAAAGCATCCTCTGATGAACACACAGCCACTATCCCTTTGAGGGTATCTCACCTAAGTGCCTAACTTCCCAAAGATCAAGCCACTTACTTGTAGGCTGGGTGTAGTTGTAGGAAACTAGCATTGTAAATTTTAGCTGTGTATTTTAACAATCCCCACTGGTTTTCAACCAATACATTATCTGCTGGAAAGTCTTTGTTGCCATTTACAACCAAAATGAGGATGAAGTAGGGATTTGATGGTTGCTACTGAAAAAGAAAACATTGCAAAACAGTCTTGCATGAGCAACTAAAAAAGAAAAAAAAAAAAACGAATTATCATGGTCACTAGGGTAACAAAAGCATAAAAAGGAGCAAAATAAGTAATTTGATATGCTTACAAAAATATTATGCTGTTCCACTGTGTTCCACAGTTTCATTAGAAGTTGCATGTTTTGCCTTTGTTATCAGTGATTTTTCTGGAGAGTGCTATCAGAGGTAGACTAATTTCAAACAAAAGAAATTACTCATAATTTCAAAACCAGTCATTTTTCACCACATGTCACTAGCGGAACTTTTCATTTAGATTCAAGTTTTTATTCTAGGAGGGAAGGTAAAGAGATGTTTACCTATAAACCTTCTGTTAGAACTATTACACAAAACAAATCTACTTGTCTAAATTTAAAAAAGTTCCTGTTATAATCATTCTATCTTAATATGCTCAGTAAATAAGAGTTGGTGGTATAGGTTAGGACATATTGAATTTCATTGGTTTAATTAAATTGTTGTTGATAAACTACAACAAACTTTCTGTTTGGGAAGGCTTATTTAAATTTTGGAACCTACAGTTTAACTTGCGCTCATTTCCAAGTGGTATAAGACAGGGTGAAATAATATGTTTCAAATTCAGTAATTTAAAATGGTACTTTAAGTCACACTGGTGCAATATGGTGTGCAGACACACCCTGGGAAACCTATGTGTGATGCCAGCTTAGGGAACTTGAGTAAAAGAGCCAAACATAGATAACTATATATACAGGAATAAGAGATACACAATAAAAATGTCTTCTTATATAGCACCCGCTGATGGGCTGCTCCTGAGACTTTTAAGGAACTGGTTAGCCTACTTTCACATTAAAAATACTGCACAAAGCTGGCCAGGATTTCAGTCATCAGGTATTGATCGACAAATAACAAAACACAATTAAATTATTTCTTGTACACTCAGAATAAGTCAGCTCTGCTCTTACAGGTCAGTTAACACAAAACAATCTCTCCTCATGAGTTGAGAGCAGTTTCTCCTTTTGCTGCTCTTCACACCCACTGCTTGGTTACAATCCTAGCCAGTGAGATAATTATCACCGAGAAGAAACATTCCATTTTCCCTTTTTATATCTAGTTATGCTATCAGTTCCTCCTAGTAAGCAGTTGTACAGCCCCCGGAAGGAGGATGCAGCCTTACTTGGTGAAACCTGCCACTGTGCCTTTCAAGTGAGGTAAAATTTAAGGAAAGGCTTCAGTCAGATTCCCTCACCACTTAGCCCTGATGAAGGACTTTTTGTTTATATCTTAGCAGTACGCAAGCCTCACCTGATGCTTCACTATCACACTTACAGCAGGTAACTTCTGTTTGAACTGAAAACAAATATCCTTGTGAAGGAGGAGAAAAAAAAAAAGAAATATTTTTAAAAAGGAAAAAAAAATAAAAGTATGGAACACCTAAATGTCTATCTGTTAAATGTTTTTGAGCTCATCTTAAAAAAAAATTTTAAAAAGTGTTAAATACTTATTTGTACTCTCTTGATTCAACTAGAGTTTGCTGGAAATTTTCAAACCTGATAAAATTTTATTTCCTTTGCCTTTAACTATATCAAATATAATAACCAGGTCCAGGCTTACCACTAAGAAAAAGAGTGGAATTTTTGTGACGTGGTAAAACAGTATGCTGGTTTAGACCTCCTGGTAGCCCCCAAGGGGATGTGATGCAGAGGAGAACATGGAACTCACTTTACTGGTTGCTATTTAATTTTATCAGTACTCACAGAGATTCTGGATTGCATACTGCAGGAACACTTGTATATATACAATAAGGGACTTAAAATCATGGAGAAGCTTAACAAAATGTAGCAGAAAAAGATTACCTTTCTGTAATTTTCTTTCTCTAGATGTTAATAGAGAGGCTGGAATTATTAGCAGGATATGAAAGTGAAAAATAAAATATGATGCAATGTTAAGGAAGCCAGGCTTCCTGCCTTTCATGTCTTCTCCTTCCAAGGTATTCACAACCTTGTCATTTCCTAGTGCCGTCTCTTGTCACAAACCACTCTACCCTCTTTGATTTTCTCGTGGTCTCAGCTTTCCCTGACTTGTTTTTAGTGTCTCACATCAGCATTCTTTTTCCACAATTTGTTAAGAGCTCTCCCCTTTCTTTTACATCTCTCTTGAAGACCCATCTTTGCCATAATTTCTGTAATAAATATACCATGTTACTATATCCTGACAGATGAGAATGATTATTACTTTCTGCAAAAAAATGTAACTACCAGATTATTTTAATTTATGAAAAAAGGTTACATAGATAGCTACATTTGCTTCTTTATATTTCTTGTCCCAGTCTTTCCGTGTCACTCATCTTTATGAGCTGAAAGTTATGTGCAGTAATATATGAAGACATTCCTTTTTTAATTCCCTTGCATAAGGGATGAGATTCTATTTCAGCGTTGTAGCTGCAAACTAACGTTACACAACAATTAGGTAGGAAAGATAATGCATATTCTAAAATATTTTTAGAATGAGAAAATTGTATTCAAGCTGAAACTCTATTCACACAAAGCTCAGGAAGAAGCCTCACACATAACCCCACAATGCATACCATCCCATAAAGCACACCTCAGCCATGGGTTTCAGTTATCATTACCAGAGATCTTTATATTTCATGGCATAAACACTTCTCAACCCCAACTCCAGGTACTCAACTTTAGTCACAGCACAGCCAAGTTTTTTTGGGATGCTTCCCAGCTTCCAATTTACTCTGTTTCATTCTGACTTTTACTGTTTGGCAATAGCTCTCTAGACCTAATAATACTTAAGGTGCAAACTAATAATATTTGTCTATTCCAAAGGTCAAAGGTTCTATGTACATTTGGGGAAATTAATGCTCAATCAACACTAGATGACAGGATAAACATCAATGAAATTGCTGCTGCTTTCTCAGGGAACATGCCATATGGGGCATCCATTTCCTGAAACCTTTCACCAAGCTGGGCATGTGCGGCACTTTCCAACCTGCCTGCTGAAGGGAAAGTCTCTTCCTGTTTTAGCCTCATCCTCAGTACAAAATGTCCTTTTACTTTTCTTGCTTTAAAATTCCTTAAAATCAGACATATTGCATATACAAGTAAATTTGATAGTTAATTACAGTCCTAAGTATATTCCACAAATCACTGAAAGAAAGCTAAGATCAAAACTGTCAGTTTAGTGGTTTTAGTCTAATTAAATTGTTAATGGAAACATTAAAAGTTATCAGACAGGAAGACTGAACACATGCTATCACTCAGGGAAAAAACCCACCCATAACACTGGACTTCATTTGATATTGTTAACACTGGTAAGAACACATAAACTTTAAAAGCAATCATTTCATTGTGGTTTACTCCATAAATTAAACTGTACCTGGGGAGTCATTCAGGCTGAAGGCAATTCGCACTGGCTTATCAGCAGGTACCCTGGCAGTGGTGATCATGTGGGCACTTGAGTCAATGCTTTTACTTGTTTGTTCCAGCTGCAATAATACAAACAATATATTTATTACCATTCAACAAATGAGTTTTAGCACTTCTCATGCATTCACAGCTACCTTTCTCATTCTAGCTAAGCAACGTTTAGAATCAAAGTCAAGGGAGCGCCATTTCACTTTTCCATTTAAAAAGGATTTAAGTGAAATTCAGTGCAGAGGCTGCCTTTCTTTGGCAGTTACAGGTTACAAAGAATGATGGCAAAGGAAGCTTCCCCTCTCCTCACCTGCTTGCTCCCCGCCATTGTCCCTTCAGCAAGCCTTGACTCGTGGCAATGCTGCCTGGTTCTGAAGGTGAAGAAGGAAGAAGGGGTGGGGAGTTGAGAGTAACATGACCCCAAGCCTGCCATGTGATTGGAAACGTGCACACCACTCCACATGGTGTCAATGAGGAGACACCCATTCTCCTACCTTCCACCCATACGCCCCCAGTCAAACTGTGCCTGATGATAGTCACACACTTAATGGTCAGAAAGTTACTGGGTCTCCAAACCTTGGTGGTGATTCCTCAGTGGAACTCTGTGCAGGTGTAGGTGTCTGTCTGCATGGGTTTGACTCCCGGGTCGGGACCTTATTCAGTCCTTGGTCTTTCTTCTGAGACCACCAACTCCAAAGTGGCTTTACTGAGATGAAACCCTGTCCATTAAGAAAACTACTATTTCATTTCAAGTAGGGCACTAAACAATTGCTAAGCAACAAAAGAATTAGCTACTACTGATCTGTAATGGTATAATTAAAGCATCTCTGAACACTCAAAAGTTGTACTCAGAGCTCTACTATGTATAGTTAACCTTTTGAATGAACAGTTTGGTTAAGGTCTATTAAATAGCTGAACATAAACTTAATCTCCTTGTACATCAGGCATAAAGCTGCTAAAATTCACAGATATTAATCTTCTGATTAGGCTCATGTGTGGAGAACATGAAGTCAGTGGACTTCATGAACGCAAAAGATCTGCCCATAAAGAAATTATTTTAGGACTGAAGACTATGCTATCTAGAGTGCATTGTATCCATACCATCCAACTACATGGACAATTATGAGACTAGCTTTTAAATCACCATAAAAAATCCTCAAATAGAAACCAAATTCTTCAGGAAAACGCAATGAATTTACTAAAAATTTTACCACATCAGTAGACAACACAGCATTTAGCTAGGGAAAACAAAAGCCAGTTTCCTAAGCCAACAGTCTTGCAGTTTTTCAGTAAAGTAGCTATTGCATAGCACGGAAATCCCAACAACTCATTCTAATTTACACTTAATTATTTGGCAGTCTCAGAAAGTCAGTAGAACAGAACAGTATTTCAGGGTTATAATCTTCCTTGGTGATGCACAAGTGAATCAAACTCTTCCCTGGCATCACTGCCTTGCAATCAGTGGAAGAGTATCAAATTTGCATTTGGCCCATTAATTTCAGCATTTCTTTTTTATTTGCTTTGTCTGTTTTAATATTTCGCTAGCAGAGTGACACGGTTACTCTGTGGCAATGCTACACAAGAAATTGTTATTTCAAGTGCATAATCTTTTCTTAAAATAACAACAAATAATCTAAAATCATTACTTTGAATAATACTTATTTGGAGCTGAGAGTGTCTCTTTCTACTAATACATGAAAGATATCAGGGTTCGTTCTTTTATTGTTTCATTACTAATAATCAAGACACACAAAAATTGAACCCATATCTCTTTGGCAGAGACAAAGAAAAGTCAACTAAACTGCCAGACTGCATGTTTTTGGACTCAAGAAAAGATCCCTAGAGCCAACTGAAAAATTGTATTTTGAAGTGCATAGCATTGGACTAAATAACTTTTACCTTCTGAGCATTATTGATCTCTTTTTTTCCTCCAGACCCTCACTTTATAAGAAAGATCTGAGATATCTCATTGTTTTTAAAAAACAACAGAACTACTAATCCAATATTCTTTATCATATTTCCCTTCCATACCTCCCAATACAAGATAAAGAAAAAAAAAAACAAACCCAAAAAAACCACAAAAAATCCCAACATATTTTAAGTGATAAGCACATCCTTGAAACAAGACTGTTCATCATTCTGTGTTGGTCGTACACATTCCTCTTACATCTGCTTACTATCTCAAGTGGTCTTCCACATAAGAGTGTACTTAAAATTTCCTATCATAGCCTAAGAAATTAAAATGATGCATTCTGCTAGAAGTTTTAAAGTTGCTATTGCAATATTGCCAGGAGTAAATCTGTTGTCTTATCCCAGTCACATACTCTGTGGTCTACAATGTCTTTAAATTACCTCTTTTAACCACCTACTCTGTGAGGGCAAAAATCAATACCCCTTCAATGAGCAATGGTGAATTCTATCATAACACAAAAGAGTGTTTTCATTTTATTCCAATCCACAAAAAGAAATCTCATCTCTATATGTAGCAATTACCCTGCTATCCATTTTTTTTATATTGCATTTATCCCTTCGCTCCTTTTTGCGTAGAAGCCTCAAGCTCCACATCACAAAAAGCAATCAACGAGAACAGAGAGGGATGGAAGCAGCCTGTGTGCAAACAAGGTGATACAGGAAACACGCAGACTGACTGCCCCCAATTCCCCACCTGCCTTCTCCATGCATGAAGAAGAATATCTCTGTAGTCAGAGATGAGGGTGAGTGGGCAACCTGGAATTTAACGAGATTGAAGGAGTAGCCCTCTTCTTTACAACAATTGCCTATGGAACTGGCTGCTGTTTCTCCATAAAAAATCTGCAGCAGAACTCAGATTAAGCGCTGTTACAGCTCTATCAATTTAGTTCAGTTTTCACACCTGTTGCCTTACCTCACTTAGCGGAGTGTCTGCGCTTGTATAATCCAGGGCCAGCCACTGCCTTGGCTTGTCCTTGCCTTTATGGAGTAAAGCTTCAATAAAAGAAAAGGCTGCACCTGCTGCATAGCAACAAACTGACAAGGTCTGAGAAGCTGAGACAGCTGTCAGGGCAACATGCTGCTACCTGCACTTCCCATAGGCTTTGCTGTCCCAAAGGATCACCCTTTTCCGCTTTTCTCCACAATTCTGCTTTTCCTTCCTCTCCTTGCCAGTGATGAGGGATTATGATGCTGTCACGCTTCGGGGAGGAAAAAATCCTTCTGTCACAGGCATTATTAAGCAGCAAACTGTGGCGAGCCGAAGATTTTTAATTCATTAGTCCTGGCAAACCTAAAATACAAACAGACTTGCTTCATAGGACAGGAATGTTTTCAGCATGACCCAATCGGTGTCTGTGTCTATTCCAGCAAACTGGCAAAGATAGCATGACTCCAGTCAGCAAAAATGTCTGGGGCTCCAATCAGCTTGGGCTGACACTGCCAACTTGGACTGGCTACAAGCGCACTATCAAATGATAGCAGCGACTATCAAAGCTAACAACAAGGGATGGGCTTGGCATGTTAGGCTAGGTTCACGTTGGCTTTGGTCAACCTGGGCTTGTCTCATAGCAGACGAGAGCCCCGCACTTCTGAGGAGGCAACGGGCTAATTTCGGAATGCGTACGCTGTGAAAGCAGATGTATTTATAGACGAGCTGGTGATGGCAGTGATAGCTTAAGCTGACTAAATCAGAGATTTGACTGAACTCGGAGGATTTCCTAGTGTGATTTCAGATAGCATTTGTCAGTTCTGAAACCACAGGCAAGCGATTACTAGGTAAATCTTGAAGTATCCAAGAGAGAAGAATTTCTTCAGCTTAAACTTATTTTCTATACTTGTGTCACGCACATGTACTGCCTACATCTTTGACTGACTGCTATCACAGTCATTAAAACAAATGGACAAAAATGGAGAACAATTACAGAATGATTATACAGAATATCTTTGTACTTATTGTTCTGTGCTTGAAAAGGGGGTTCTCCTCCTTTTATATTAGAAAATGCATTTTGAAGGTATATTTCGTATTTGTAAATTCCAAATGGAAAAGGTTTATCTAACCCATTTCTCCTGTGTAGGCACACTGCTAGATTATCTTGGTTCAGCTGAGATATAGAGAGGTTGCAGGACAAATGGAGATGTGAAGGTCTGAAGTTAAATTTTCATCCTTCTTCACCCTCTCACCTTCTGGCCCTAGCCCAGGATTGATCTAGTTGGTGCAAATCTCAGGAAGTCAGCAGTTGCCCTTGTGGCCTCAGAAGACCTTTTTCATACTTCGAAATGACTAAACTGCAAAGATATTCTACCCACACTGCCTTTCCCCCAGCAATGTCCCAGGAGGGTATTAGACAGCTACACCATTAGTTAGGTACCTGGTGAGGCTGTCGTTTTAACGGCAGTGTGATTTAAGAGCGGACTATGTGCTCTGTCCCAAAGAGTTAGTGAAAAGCAGCACTGTACCTCTGACTATGCTGACCATTTTGTCTTCTCTTGATGTGTTTCTGAAAAGGTTGAGGGTTCTTCCCTATATGTCTCTTTTGGAAGGGGAAGGAGAGAGATTAGTCTCTGATCCCAACTATTACTGCAAATAATGTTCTACAGCTCAATACCATCAGCAATTGATACTGATCTCCAGCTCCAGGTCCAATTACTGTGAAAGTATTTGTTTGAAGATACAGAAAATCCTGGGTCCACTGAAGGCACTAAAAATTAATCTGCTTCACTTTCCATGGAGCTGGGGTTTCCCCCAGATCATAAGATCCTCTTCAGCCTTGTGTGAACAGATGGTATTTAGACGGTATGAGTGCCTTCATTACATGCCTTTACACTAAAGCCTAAAAAAGCCTCTCTACATAAAATCTTAAGACACGCAAAATCTTCAATAGCCATGACAGCAAGGGTCATGGACAGAAATGATGGATGAGTAGTCCAGGGGTGGTTTTTCCAGATGGCTATGACACTCCACATTTCCAGACCGACATTTCAGTTGTACTTGGTTTAAATAGCACGTGCATTTGCAAATTTATTTCGTAATCACTTTATGTTTTGTATCCATTGTATACATGTTTTTTTAAATGTCAGTGTTTCTAGTTAAATCTGTATTTCCACACACATTTTACCAAAGAAAGTGGAATCACCTGTGCTTCACTTAATATGCACAATCCTGCGGGTTGTGCTGCTTCTGAAAACTATGAAACATGTGCTAAGACAACAAAGCTGCACAAACCAAAAGGCCCCTGATTTGCATTTAGATGTCTGTTCTGTGCTTTACACAATGATTAGTCACTTGAAACTACTACTTCATGGAAGGCAGCATATTTTCGAAATGTGAGAATATTATAGCATTTTGTATACAGAACATTAAATCTGAAGCATCAGGATGAATGACTTGACTGTAACCATTTTATCATCTATTTATTATTGGGGCTATGGTTCTAAAATCCCCAACAATATGGATTTAAACAGCACATTTTAAAAGGTTCTCTAAATTACTTTTATAACAATAAACTAGGGTACTTCACTTCCATGACTTGGTCAAATTCATAGTTAAAGGCATTGTAAATTTTGGGCAGTGATAAATCCCACTTCTCTTAGTCACCAAGTAGGTGACTAAAATCTGTGCATCTAAGAAAATTACTCTCGCGTTTAGTGCAACACAAAAAAATATTTCTTTATAACAGCCTTCACATACATTCACCTTACAGTCATCTCTGTGAAAATTACAGGATGCTGATAGCTCCAGGTTTTTGCACAGCCTGCCCTGTTTCCTTTCCAGCATACTCTTAGTCATCAGGTGCCTGGTACCCCAGTAAAATTTCAGTCCTGTATCACATTATGAAACTGGTGATATGCTAGAAGAGGATATAATGTTTTATTAATCAAAAACACCTTAAAGAAACATACAGTAAACTGGCAACACTGGATTTTACTGATATTCAGTAGTAGAAACATGCAGATTTGTAAGAATTTTCAGGATGATTTTTGTAATTCTACAGATGTAAAAAAAGCCACTATCTGCTATCTAATAAAACACCTGTTGCCTTGCCTTTTTTTAGCTGTGCTACTTTCAATTCATCTCAGTTTCCTAGTATAAGTAGTATTTTAGTAGCATATGACCTCATTCATGCTAAAATCGTGTTTCACAGATTGCGAGTCACTATTTAAAAATACACTTTAAATATTCTAGCATATGGAAGATATTCCAAGGAGAAATTTTAAAAAATATATAAATGCTTTGTCTAAAACCACACACAGAGCAAAAACCTCATTTTATAGATTCCTCTGAGTACAAACAGAATCTCATTTTTGACATTTTCTGATGAACATATTTCTGCAGCAAAATTTGTTAAAAATCCCACTGTAGGAGGGATTTGGTCCCTGTTACTGACATCGGGGCTGATCAGCATGAAGCTGCTCCATGCTATAGAGAACTGATTTTGAAAACATAAACACTGGTGAGTCACATCCTTTAAATCCACATTACCTGTAGAATTCCCAGTACTGCTTGGATTGCATGACTCAGAATTTGCCAAATATTAAAATTTAGATGGTATATTCCATTTGTCTGCTGTGGTAATTGAATAAGTGCCCTCACACCAGCCACAAAACCAGAATTTTGTTGACCTGATATCTTCCTGCAGTCCATAAGGTTAACCATTTCTACTCTGCACGGAACTGTGTAGAGAAGTGTCTTCTTCTACAGCAGCAGTTATCCTAGGTGAGATCAGAACATCCAGTATGATGTAATCAAATCACTATTTTCCAGCCAGATACCCAGAACCAGAGAAGAATACTTATTTCTTGTCTTTCAGATAATGGAAAGGTATAGATCAATACACATTATTTAGTCTTGCTGCACTTCACTCACAACCTAACATCCCAAGTCCTGACAACAGAGCAGTGAACAGAGCACTTCATTACTGTACTTAGATACTACCTTCAGTCTCCTTGCCTAGATAGCATTTTAACACAGGCAAAATCATGCACTTTCCCCCAAGCTCTACAGTCAAAAATGTCTGAACCCTATCAGATGAAACTAAGCCATTAAAACCAGCATGAAACATACATTGAGTACTGACTTAAAAAATAGTATATAAAAAACTTTATAATTAATGGCAAATTGATATGCAATAGCTGAATTCACTTACATAGGATCATAGAGATTTAATGAAGGAGATTGTTGCAGAGAAATTAAAAAATGGGCTCAGTCAACCTAAAGTAGAATTACAGGAGCTGACTCAACAAGTTTTACACCTGCCTTAAGATAATCTAGAAATAACTGCATCTTGAATCATTTGAAAGCCTGACTGGTGAAAAACTCCATCACTTCCATTGTGGAAGCTAATGCCTGCTGAGGGGAAGAAAACTGAAGTCTTTGAGATATGATGCTGACAAAGGTGGTTGCGTATCTCTTGCATGGAAAATAAGATGAATGCTAAAGTTAGAAATGTTACTGGAAAAGCCTCACTGTTGTCAGAAAGCATCAGGTGCAAAATTATATGCTTCACTCACATAAGCACAGAGATTGAAATAACCTTTAGAAACTAATTATGCAAAGAATGGTGGCACGCCATCTCATCAGGGAACGATAAAGGAGGATATGGACTGACAGTGTGCAGCAACTCACGGGGAGACCAGCAGCTGAATGTTCAATGCTAGCATTGGGCAGCACTGGCTAACTGGAAACAACAGCACTTTCTTGCAAGCACTTCAACACAAATGCGTCAATTTTGCTTACCGATTGTGCCACTAAACCACATCCAGCTGTCCTAGGATAGAAAGATCATTCTCTCATATCTGTGTACAAGCAGAGTAATCACTCCATTTCAATTGGACTTGCCATTCCTCAAGGGAATGCTTAGCTTACCTTACTTAAGAACTTACCTGAAGAAGATACTACGAAACTTTACAGCCTTACTTGTTGATGATGGCTGAGGTCATCATGCTCTCGGGGATACACACACAAGACTGTTAAGTCAACACGCTTTTTCATGAAGCTTTGCTGCCTGAAGGAAAAATCAGCATCTAGAAGAATGTGGTGAAATCCCCAGCAGCAACTGGTATTCTGCCCATACTTGAAACCTCACCGCTGATTCAGCACCGAAACTGCCTTAGTGCCAGCTGCAAACATAGAGAAGTTTAGAAACAATAAATGCTAGAACACTTATTAGCAAAAATTGTTAATTACTAAATGCAGCTTATAATAGTCCAGGAAGTCTTCACACCCCTCCTAGATACCTATGCTCCCTCCCTGAAGAGAAAACATATGATATGATAACCAGCAGG